AAATTCATAACTCGGGGTTCTGAGATGCTAGAAAGCTGAAATTTTAGGGTAATGTTCCCCGTTCAAATGGGCGCTAATGAGCTCAAATCCAACCCCCCGGTAAACGTGGTACCCGCATACGAGCCCGCCAAAATTCTTCCCGCGTAAATTCATAACTCGGGATTCTGAGATGCTAGAAAGCTGAAATTTTAAGGAGTATTCTCCGCCCAAGTAGGTGCTAATGAGCACAACCCCCCCCCCCCGGATAAGCGTGGTACCTGCGTACGGGCCCGCCAAAATTTTTACCGCGTAAATTCATAACTCGGGGCTTAGAGATGCTAGAAAGCTGAAGCTTTAAGGGAATGTTCCCCGTCCAAGTAAGTCTCAGTGAGCTCAAACCCAGACATCGAGCATGCGTCGTACCCGCTTGCGGGCCCGTGAAAGTTTTTTCCAGTAAGTTACTGACTCAGGAGCCAGGAAAACTAGAAAGCTGAAATTTTAAGAGGGTGTTTCCTGGCAGTTCTGGCAGCCAGTCCTAATTTGCTTAGCTTGAAGCATTTGCCGAAAAAAACCGATGCCAGTAGCGACAAAAATTGCGGGGAACCTTGCAAAAAACGCATCTTCGCACGGGCAGCCCGTGCGTTGGCCAATTATTTCTACTTATGAATGTGCTGCCACAGTAGCCGACTGATGCCACTTACCTCTTATAATATTTAACTACTAACAAGCCTTAACTTTTCCGTATTTTTGCACAATGTAATAACACGTATTGGCAAGGTCTACTGCGCGTACGCTCGTTCGTTTGCCTGTTACCGATTCTTTTTTTGCCCTCTACGATCACATTAATTAGCAAATTGAAAGTGTGAGAATTTTGCCTTCCACCCTATGTACACTTATTCTCTTGATATCGGCTTTTTTGCCTCAGCTGGATTTCGAATTGTGACTTCAAACGGGAGCCAAATTCACGGATGTATTCTAGACTTTTGTTTGAAGCATGTGTGCACATTTGGTCCCCAAATGCAGAATTGACAAAAAGCATACTTACGGGTGTCTTTTGATGCGCGACGCTATTCATCTGTTTTGAAAAAATGACAGTGGAGAAGAGGCGTTGTTCCCGTTTCGGAAAGCGACACATTTGGCCACTCCATTCATTATTCTTGTTTATTCTCTTTAAGCCTGTGTTTGTTGCCAAATGTCCTACTACATGCGGGTATATGTGACAGAAAAGCCTCATCCACTCCATCGCTCTGCTTCTCCTTCGCTTTCCCGTAATTCAATCCTTCCTCATGGACAGAGTGTTGCAATTGGTCGAAATCCACTAGCAACGCACATGCAACCTTCTTTCGTTTCTTCCGCCAACAAAGTGGCCAAGAAAATGATTTTTTTTTAAACTACATTTCAACCCAAAACCTTGCGAATTTCAAATTTGATG